GTTTTTATTATAAAAAGATCACATAAGGGAGCATTCGGCATCCATTGTTACTGATTATATATTATAGGTTTTTTATTCACACGCCACGCTTATAAGACCCCCATCCAGAACCATAAAGGCATTCGAATACGATTTGGGGCACTCATGTTCTTAGGGGTTGGGACATTCAAAACAGGGCACTCAGAAACAGCTGGCAGGTAACCCTAGGGCTGAGCATAGAACAGGGGAGAAACGTCAGGAGGAAAAAAGATCGATCACCTCCACCATACTTCTTTCCCCTACTCAAGGCTAACCCCAAGTACTGTATGTGGCTCACTGACTTCAGTGCCCCCCCCCCATCGACATGAGCGCCCCGATTTAGATCTATTCAATGGAAGGTGAAGCGAATTTTGTAGTAGAAATCAGGGGAAATAGGATGTTTGCTTGTGTACCTATCCTTTCAGAATTGTCTCGACAGATGGAGGGCTTCTCCGGCCCGAGCGGAATTCCGGACATTTCTGATCCTCAATGCGAACTTCGCTAGCGGTCAAACAACAACCTTGGCTCCTTTGTAATTTTATTTACTTATTTATTCAATCAATCACATTGTTTCAATGAGTCGTTGTATGCTTCTTCTCCATAGAATAGGTTTGCTTGTAGCTGTTTTAGAGCTTCTCCAAGGACTGACACAAAGGGGTCTCGCCATCTCAATCTCGGCCGGCCATTTGATCGTTTCCATTTCCATGGTCGCCATTCGGTGATTATCTTCGTCCATCTATTATCTTCTTTCACAAACATTTCTTTCGCCTCACATCCATTTTCTTCTGACTGCTCGCCAAAACGCGCCCGCCAAATCGGCAAATCGCTCGACGATAAAACCAGAAACCTGCGCAGTCGTTAATGTGTCAATCCCACTTCTAATGTGGACCTTATGATGACGAAGACCTTTTTTATTGCCCCCTCCCCCTCTCCTGTAAGTACTAATCCAGATCTTTCTTCCCGTACGCATGTTCAATGTTAGGCATACCCTGACAGGACGACTCAGATGAATTGGGACTTACTCCCAGTTGAAATTATTGACCAGGTCTTTTCAAATCATTTGAGTTGAATGGGGTTTCCTATGTGGCTTCATATTTCTGAAGACAGT